CACAGACCAGACGAGAATAAACCCCCCTGAAGCGGAGCCTCACTAGAGCCGCGCAGCCTCTCCAGCACTGGCACGAGGCTCCTTAGCTCTGCTGCGCCTCCGCCACCCCCAGACTCTTCATCCGCATCACGACCCACATACCAACCACCCCACCTACACAGAGCCACTGACTATCGGGTAGTGGAACTTGTACAAAACAGAGGAAGAAACAGATGCACGTAAATAAATACACCGAGATCACCAATAACAGGCAATGACCACAACCAGGGCACCATCGATAAATAACACGTTTCTCCAAGAGACACAAAATAGAAGGCAGGCGCAGTGAGAATAACACGACCATGTAATAGCAAATCCAATGGAGCCAAAGAGAGCAGGCAAGATTGCTGAAGGTCAGGAGTTCAAAACAGCCTGAGCAAGAGAGCGAAGACCCCGTCTCTACTATAAATAAGAAGAAAGTAATTGACCAACTAATATATAGAAAAAAATTAGCCGGGCACGGTGGCGCATGCCTGTAGTCCCAGCTACCAGGGAGGCTGAGGCAGGAGGATCGCTTGAGCCCAGGAGTCTGAGGTTGCTGTGAGCTAGGCTGACGCCACGGCACTCACTCTAGCCTGGGCAACAGAGTGAGACTCTGTCTCAAAAAAAAAAAAAAAAAAGAGCGTGAAAGAGAAAGAACCAGATGAAGCAGAACTGACCCCCGGGTTACAGACGCCAGGGAAGGAAGGGAAGACTGCCCAAGGAGTTGCTCGTTTTCTATTTGCCACAAGCTCAGCCGAGCAGGAGAGCGAGCTGTCTGTCACGTGTGATGATGTAGACAATTAAGATAACACGCCCAGATTGACAGCCAGGACTTTTATCACTTGCTGTGACGGTACAAGCATGAGGCTCCCTCCTGTCCACTTGCCCTGCCGTGTGGGGGTCAGGCGGATTGCACAGACGCGGGGTTGTCTCGTGGAGGTGGAATCGCCCAACAAGAGGCTTGCAGGCTCAGGGGCGGAGGCGGGGAGGGCGGGCATGGAACTATAGTAAGTACCGAGCCAGAGTGGGGGGAGAGTGTGGAAGTGGGCGAGCTAGATAAGAGCTGGGCAAGGGGGATCTGTAATCCACCCCGATAAGCCGGAGAGCGGGCTTGTCTTCTCCTCTGACCCTGGCAGCCTCCAGTCCAGGCATTGCAAATCCTCAGCGTAACTCGCGCCGTAGCCTGCGAGCCCGAGCCCAGGCAGGGGCAGGACAGGTGGCCGCGCTCATCTCTTCTCCCTCATCAGGACGGGACTCAGCCTCTGAAAATTCACGCCCAGCTGGGCAGAGTAAAGCAGGACATCCAGGGGCTCAGGCTGTGTCTTAGGGAGGGGAGGAGGGAGGCTGTTCTCTGCCCTGGCCTCCCTCGAATTATTTTCTCCCTGGGATCATGGGAACAAACACTTAAT